CTGGTTTACGATGTCTTTCTTCAAATGAATGTATTACACTGTATTCGTGGTGAGTCTCCCGTCAAAATCAAATTAGTATACAGATGAGTGTATAAGTCAAATATAATCCGCTTTTGATTAAGTGGAGCCTAGGGTTGACAGAAACCCCGGGACTGCGCCTGCCTGATGAGCCTCAAGAAGGGCGAAGTAGTGTATTGCTGTTGCAAAAGGTAGCTTACATCCTGCTCCACCAAATGTGTTGCCCATCTTACTATTGAATATGCGGGACTCTGTCGACCCCGCGGTCCCAGCAGCTTTTGCAGTCATCTTATTCCCACATTGAACTGCTGAATTTTTCTGGGTTTTGTTAATAGGTCTAATTTATGACGAAGCTGGTTACTGATTGGATGATAGTCGCAGAATAGATGACAAATGACTACTTTGAGATTATAGTAATATGTTCTGGAACAGCGATCCACCGTGCGTCCACCGTCCTTCTAAGTGAGACTTAGTAGGCTGCAAGGGAGTAACCGTGCAAATTCCATCCGACTGGCTGGGATTATGTGGCCAAGCGTGATTGGCAGGCGTATCGTGCAGGGATGCAGAATATGGACTTTAAACTGGAATATCAAGCGGTGGAACACCAAACGGCGTACACGAATCGACTTTACCACACCCACTTGATGAGTCTCAGTTAGGGCTAAAAGCATAGTGAACTGCTTTCCCGAGATAGGCAAGGCCTGCTTTCTAAGCCGAGATTCAGTGTGCAGCCATTCACCCTTGGTGCTTCTTAAACGTATGTGTCTTCCTTAATCTGTACATCACGTGAACGGTCGTGTCCACACCAAACGTCGATGATTGGTCAAAATCAATAGAAGCACATTACTGTATAGCGCACGGCAGGATTGAGTTGGAGCTAAACTGAACTAGGCAAGTTTTCCAGATTCAAATGGGACGTCAGGCTATGAATCTTTACTGACTGTCGGCCATTCCCTATCTACACTTTCTTATGCCTCATGCGATGCGACATGGCTTGTTTGGTTGGCCAGAATAGTTAGTCAGAAACCGAAACGGCTAGCTGTAGGTTCATTGCTGAAGACCGATTAACTTACTTGCTGCTCAGTGTTCTAGCCAACCGGCCTGTGGAAAAAATACAGTGAATCACTCTAGATTTATGTCATCACGAAGAAACTCACTTATTCAGAGTAGGACGCCAACATCAGAAAATCAGTGCAAGCGCAAACCAAGTCCAAATTGGTTATTCCAGTTTTCCGGCAAACTCTCAAGGGAAATTTTTACAAACGAGCTGGTTATTGTTGGTAAACGAGGTTGGTTCCGCATAAGCTTTTGGAGTATATCGAAGAATAGTTGCAAGGACTGTTTGCCGACCAGATGCGGTTGAACAGGAAACTCGACGTTGAAAAGCGAAATTCGGGTGCGCATTTTCAGTAAATTGCTCAGTCTTTGTCAGAAAGTCAAGAAGAATGGAACCAAGACAAGAACTCTTAGTACATATATTTCCTCAAATGCTGGGTGGATTTTAAGTGACAAAACTATTCTTTACCGGATATGTATTGTGTTCTGTTGAGTTTTATCGTATCCCAAAAAATCTTGCACCGCTCATCTCCATCCAGTGCACTTTATTTCATACGCTCCGACATTGATCAGCTCCACAGGGAGGCCCAGCATCCTTGGCAAGATTTCCTTTCCGAGCAGGGCCGCTTACATTAAGAATAGTTCTAAGTTTCCAACGCGGGCTTCACCCAGCAGATGAGGAAAACCTACCCTGAGAAGTTGAGAAGCGCCACACAAATTCTTCCGTCATAATCAGGACCACTAAATGTGTCCACGTCACACAATCCTGGGGTACTTCAAGTCCGCAACCTTCCACACAGAAGTTGAAAATCACGATGTTGAAAGGAAGAAAGCGTTTGCTGCGGGGTTGTTTACTAGAGGAACACTAACTGAACAGTTACAGACTATGGAACAAGGGAGCAAAACTCTCATCTGCATCTTGTTTATAACACTGAATATCCATCTTCTCCTTGAACCCGACTTCCTCAACTTTTCTGGATATTCATTGACTCTTACTCAAATGAAAGCTAGTGCTACAAAGCGACTCCACAAATTCCGTAATAGATCTCACTTCTCAAGAGACTCGAAGTGGATTTCCGAGAAAACATACTACTCGCATGCTTCATCAGTAGCATCCACCGTTACACTATTCCCGGAGTAGGTTGCAGCTGGTTTATCCGGCTAGGGCGAATGTGTCCCAAAAACATTTCAATTTTTTTCATTCGGCAGCCCATTCTGCAACGGCGTGGTTGGATCGTGACTATGCGGTCTTATATATATAACGTCGATTAAATGATCCATTATACTATAACTTGCATAACATGACCGTGTAGTTCATTTACTGTGGTTTGAGCTCACGTGAGTAAAACAGTTGGGTAAATTCGAAGACAATCACTCGAACAACTGAGACACTATAACGAACATTTAATCGATTTTTCCTCTATTTAACCCCACAACATGTCGTCAATTCAAGTGAGATATTCCGTATTCTCCATAATACGGCGTTAGCTGGGTAGAATATCCATACAGTTGACAAGTTCTTGGTTACTGTTCAGGAACAATTCTCTTCCATAGCGATGGGCAGCACGTGGCATCTGATGATCGGCTTTCTTCTGGTTCCCCAAGTTATTTAAGCTAGGTGTAATGGCTCATTTTTATCCATTGTGTTTAGGTTGTCTTTCTTACTTGGCTTATGAAGGTCTTATACTCATAAAAAATGTAAAATTACTTCAATGAGTGCTCCCACTTATCTGTTTCGCACACTTGTTCATTTTCCGTAGTTGAATCAAGGTTAAAAGTAATCAGGGTATTCTTTATCAAGCATGGCCGTTTACCTATTACGTGCCCAAACATTACTTGTGAGCTAATAGCTGCAAACTTACTCAAAATCCTTCTAATTCTTTGCTTACGTAAACAGTTAAAAAGGTTCTAACTATATAGCCAGACGTGCGGGCGAAAGTAGCATATTCGGGTAATGAATGTGGACTTTACTTCAATGGATACGACACACACAAAGTGCTGAATAAGGCACACACTATCAAAGAGTTGAAACGATAGGCCTGGATCAATAGGCATGACATGTCGCTACCTTCAAATGCCACTTGAAAGAAAATGCTTGTGAATGAAATCAGGGTAGAGCGGAAGCTGTGGGGCTCACCAGGCGATCCTTACAAACCCTCTCTAGCAAGTAGCGACAAACAGGTTGAAATTCTGGTTCGTAAGTGATACCGACGGAGATGCCAGTCACATTCAGAGACATTCAAGTGTACCCAGCCATGAGAGTAAGATCTCGAAGCACTTTGTCCGATTATAACCATTTTAACTTCATCCAGCCAAGTCCTGATCTGTTCATCGAAAGATTTTTTCGAGGACCGATTGAATTGGCAAACGCCACTGGTTTTGAGAGACCCCCAAATTAATCTGGCAGTTTGCAATGAAGCGTTCAAAAGTATCGAAACCGAACATTCGAGCTGCACTACAGTTAAACCACGGGACAAACTCAATCAAATTGTGCTTCGTATTTTGCGAAAAGCTTTCGCAAGTTATGTGCCGTTTTCTCTCCCCCATTTGGATCCAGAACCCGAAAAGTGTTTTTTTTAAATGGGCTCCACATCTAAGGAATTAGCGAATATCTTATTCCTTATATACCTATACCTTATATGCTTAATGTTTTCTCCTCACCTGGTTAACGAACTATACCCTGTTAGCCAACGGTAGATCATTGAATCGAGCTAGCGCATACATATGGAGATAATCGTTGGGTTCTAATGCGTTCTCGCTTTACTCTAAACGAGTAACGCATTTGTCAGAAACTACTCATGGAATGCACGAGCTAATCCCCGTATTTATTAGAAAATTTACGGGGTATTCATGGTGCTTCACCTGTTTTGTTTTGCTCAATTAACGTATTGGTGAGGAATAGCCTATCTTTAGTGAAAACCCAGGCGGATATAATTGAATAAATATAGTCTTCACTGTTGTGAGAGTTTTCTGAAGAGAGGCTACAGAGCGAGCCAATGGGACGTGGTGGTGAAGGGTGAACGTCTAACGCGGACCTACCGGAGCATTCTAATAGATCGTACGAGTGGCAGTCACACGTTCCCTTTTGTTTTGTTTGGTTTCAGTGCAAGATAGCAGGTGTTTTCTCGACGCTTGGGGCAAACCATATGACGCAAACAAATGTGCAGACGGAACCCGATTCGTCACGGACAGACACCCTACATTCCAGATGTCGATCGAACATACGAACACTACTAGATTACGCCCCATTTTAATAGCACAAAAGCACTCACCAAGGTTAGGCTTTCATGTGAGATAAAATAGGTTCCACAGCTTTGTTGTTTCTAAACCACTGGCTTCTTTCTTCCATCTTACCAATAAGAATGTAAGATCCAGTGTATCGTTAAACTGATTCTAAGGTGTACTTTATGCTGTTCTTGAAGATAAACTGGGGTTGAAAACAGTGTTGCCCAGACAAGCGGTCACAATTCAGGGTCACATGGCCTAACGACTTTCTGTCCCAAAAGTATAGTCCTGTAAAATTTGACAAAGGTGAAATGAGATCGGATCACAAAGTTACAGGATGTGTTGTTAAACTCTTCCAATAAACAAGCCACTAGATCGACCGGAACCATCCGCCAGAATCCATAGATTCTGTCTTGGTGACGGTTTCCTTATCAGCATCTGGTCATTCACGGCCTCAAGATAGTAGTTTTCCGACCTTTCATTGCGAAATAGTCGGACGATCCACTGAAGCTTATTCAATCGCATCAAACTCTATTAGGATAGAACATCACTTCCCGGGGACAGCTAGGTTCGTCCTAGTTTTATTCGAGAGATTCTCTCCCAAGAGGCATCAATTTAAAAAAAGCTGTTTTCAGTTCGAGCAGATGGGCCGAATTCGCTCTATTTTCACTTTCCCTTATTCTGAATTATTTTCGTTTCAGAGGCTGAACTGGAAGAGATCGAGAACCACATTGTCCGGCACAAGCCAGTCGGGATCAATACTCTGTTACGAAAAACACAATTTTCCAGGAAAGAATTACAAATCATGTATCAGGGTTTCAAACAGGTATGTTTGCAGAAACCGTGAATGGTGAATAATATACCCTATTTTGAATTTACGTAAGGCTCTCGTTTGGGTTCTCAAAATTATTGTAAGTCTTCTGTGGGACGTTGGAGAATAGAGTTTAGTAAATAGGCAGGTGCCCAGAATTCTGAGACCAGCACAACTACATAAGTAGTTAAACGACCGTGTTTTAAGCACGCAGCAGTCAGTCCTTGGAATTAATGCCACAATCTATTATCCAAGCAGTCGCGGTCGCAGTAATTAATACCACCTGGGAATTTGCATTTGTTTGGTCTCATCTTCGCCACGGCAAGAACTCAGTAAGGTGGATGTTCAAGCATAATTTTCAGCAAACCTTCACGTAACAGCTTTTCCATGCCATTTACATCAAAAAAGGTCCTGAAGAAGTCTCTCGAGATCTGCACGCAACGCCAAATGATTGTTAAAAACCTTGAAACCTCGAAATCGTCGTTTTGGCCATTTAAATCTTGTTTTAAACCAATTCTTAGATACGTTTCCTAAGGTTATGCACATATTAGCAGAAAAAAGTCAGCTTTTCTGGCCCAACTCGACAAGTTTGTTATGGCGTTGTGTGATTTTTCGAGGAATGGCGATGTTAACACAATTCCTTGACAGGTTCATTTCCCAATCATCCTGCCCCGCGTTTTAATTTTCTCTATGTCTTCCTGTATCTTCTTTCTAATAAAGGAAACGGTCGTTTAACGGCCAGTTTGTTGAAAGTGAAAGTTAAAATAGTTTTTTTCTAATAAGCTCAAAAGTTACTGCGTGACTTTTCAAAAAAACTTGGATAGCCCGCTCCTAATTACGAAAGTTATCTGATGGCTCTTCTGTACTCGTATCACTATGCCTAAGTATACTGATTACATTTTTATAAACGTGTACTTGTTGGCACCGTGCACCTGCATGATATTTTAGTTTGCCGGCATTTTTCGACTACTCGTCAGCATTCCAGTAGCATGTTTACAAACGTTTTTCACAGCCGTGGATGATAAACATGGGACAGTCACACGAGTCTTCGTATACAATGAATCGAGCATAAACTTCCTGGGCTTTTACAAACCGGACTTTTATAGAATAGCATCGAACTTTTACAGAATGGGGCCTTGTGTCATGTAAACAGGTACGAATCACCCAGTGCTTTGATTTGGCACTGCAGTGCGTTCACAAAACCACCAGTTTTTAGACGGTTGTTTTTATTATTACCAGCTTGCTTGTTTTCCATTCAAATCATTTCTAATATTGATAATTTTATCTCTTCATGGCTAAATAGGAATGTCCTGCCGGTACACTGAACGAAGAGGTATTCAAAGATATTTACTGCAAATTTTTTCCACAAGGAGGTGAGTAACAGGTGCAGAACATGTTTTCATTTAGACATTTGGTCGTTAACAACTGCATGTGTGAGTGATTCTTGTAAATAACATCACACCTTAAGTTTGATGGTCCATTTTATCCAGACGAGAGACGTGCTCAAGTGGTTTTTTAGTGACAGGTTATATGCCAAATGCGTCCTATTTGAAGGTTGAAATCAGTGCATTAGAAAGGTGTCCGTCCTTGAGTTCTCATTCGCGTTTGGCAGAGCTTGAACCCGATCAAGTAGTCTGAGGTTGTTGGACGCTAAAGGACAATTTTGAAATTTACTGGATTAAATAAACTTCATTTTCACCCTGAAAAAGTTCCCTAATTCTTGAGGTGGGATGTCGATTTGGATGTTACTGAACACAGCTCAGGTCAGAATGGCAGCGGGCCATTTTCTGAATGAAGAATCAACGGAACAGTTGGGAGTTGAATTTATCTTTGTTGTTGGTAAAACTTTCTTGGTATTTGCATCCGCTGGAGACGCCGTTAATGTCGTGATGCTTTGCTGTACGCAAACTTGGTATCGCAGGCAGTTTTATAGTGCTATGTAAGGCTTGTTGTGCTATAAGGAGTTGTTTGCCCCTGGAGATTGCCCACTGGGACGCATTTCATTGTTCACTAGAGGATTCCCTGTTTGTAGGTTTGTTTTGGGGAAGGTCTGTCATACCGGAAGAAAACTTATACCCATAAGGTTCTCATTCACTGGTTTGCATTTGAAGGTGGCTCACCAATGGGCCGCACTGGTCTTAAAAACCCAGTACCATTGAATTAATATCCCTGAGAGATAAAATGACGAACGATGGTGCTGGACCTCCACATTCAGATCACAGTCGGCCCACCGTGTTTTCAAACAGAAGCACGCGCAAGTTGCTTATGCGATACCTACGGAAATTTGATTCGGAGGACAACGTCCAAATGTTGTCCAGATCTATTATCCGACAAGTCTAAATGCCATTCAAAGCCTATGCACTTTGACAATATCGGACAGCGTGAACGTGTTGCATAGGAACGCATAACTGCCCAGATCATTGTATCGTTCTTTCACGATCTTAAGGACTGAAACTAGATGGACGGCATCGCCAGAGGACCCATGGCTGCCAGGATTGGAAATATTGCTGGTAATTGCATTCACACCGATTTTGTTTGAGCTATTCTCCAACTCTCTGGACGGAGCTGTTGTGGTAAGCCCGCACCGAAGAGAAGAAACACTGATTTCAAAGTCACCCTCGTTAGACCTCGTCATCCGCACTTATCACTGGTTGTGTGAAGATTCGAACCCAGGACGTCTGATATACGAGGAGAGCGTGTTACCATTGTTATAATGACATGTTTAACGTTTCTCTATCTTCACATCTGAGCGGGTGACTATGTCCACAGTTGAGCGACATGACTGTTTTGGCACAACGCATTGAACAGCAACCAGTTCACTCTCCCGATTGTGTAGACGTGATAAGTCAGCTGTGCACTGGTGGTGCACTGGTAACACTTTCACCTCGCATGTGAGATACCGAAGGTTCAACTACCAGTCGGGTCAAGTAGATGCACTGTTAACGAGTTCGAGCAAGAACGAGTACAGTGCCTTCTATCTTTGGTGTGGATTCACCGGAAATGTCTCGTTAGGACAGAACAAGCATGATCTAAATGAAACCCATATGAAGGCGAATTCCACGTATTCCGCCATCACTCACAAGAATTTTGGGTGCCTTAAAAAACTTCAGTTTTCACCCCTTCGCTAAATGGCATGAGTCAAAGACCTCCCTGGGTATCATTCCCAATCCCCGTGCGTATGCACACTTGTGCTGAATGACTTTCAAGTACTTTTGGTGAATGTTACAGGTGAATAAAATCACACTTCTAACCTTTGCGACAATCCTCGCAGAGCTCTGGATTAAGCGAGACGTTTGAAATTCCAGCCCGGTTCTCTGCTCGTTTTTTATATTTCCAACGGTCTGACGATCCGTTTATGTCAAGTCGTTATTTAAGAAAAACCATTCAGCTGTAGCACCCTTTCGGTGCCTAGCTGTCATGCACCTGAAGGAGGCACGAGGGCTGGGATACTGCTAGGTTGCCCAAGCCCTGACAAGGGACGTTTGAGAGGCAGAGGTAGGGTTCAAACCACAGACCTTCCAGTCAGTAAATGAGCGCTCTAACTACTGAACCACCTCGTTATTCAATCAACCAATAATGGGTGGTGTGACTTTATCACAGAAGTTTTCTTGACTAGCATCTTTTGCCTGTGAGTACCGGATATCTGTGGTAAATGAAACGACGATCTCACTTTCCAAGATTTAGAACATTTTCTTTGAAGATGTTTTTTTATGGATTATCGTTTGCTCAAAACGGCCAGTTCAACACGTGTGCTTTTTTCAGATGCTACAATGTATGCTCAATTGGTCTTCCGTTCATTTGATAAAGAGCACAACGGAACTCTCACATTTGAAGTACGTCCTTTTCCCAACCCTTTTCGTTCAGCATTGAAAATGTTGCGATAGTTTTGCTAGTACGTGTAGCGAGTGACTGAGGATTGTGCGATAGACGGGGCACGATTACAACAACGTCTCTTTACAAAACGTCAGACAAGGTGTGCAAACTTTGCCCGACCTTCATTGATACGAGAAAGACGACCGACGAAACGATGAACTGGTCAGGATAACGTGGCCATGAATGCTCTAGTTTTTTACTGAACCCACACAAGATATTAACTATCTAACAGATGTTGATAGGAACGTAACAGGCCGGTACCAGTGAATGGTACCGGTACCGGTACCGGTGAATGGTGTGATTTCACCAGGATCGCATTAACAGCGCACGAAATGGTGGCCTGATTATGCACACTGCTTTGAGTTGTCCCTATTTGTTTTGAGTTGCCGAATCCCTGTCGTGATTCATGAGATGGGCACTGCAGATGCTTTCCAGCATGGCAGAGAATCTCGGCAAAGACTGGTTCTACTTACAAGGCAAAATATCGATTGGAAGTAACAAAATACCGGATATTTTAGTAAAGAGGTTTCAGCAAGGTTGCTCCAATGTCTCGAACTCAGCTAGTCGGTCGTGACCCAAAAGTACATAGCAAAGTAACTACAAAACATCCAGTGAATGTACCGGTACCGGTACCGGTGAATGGTGTGATTTCACCAGGATCGCATTAACAGCGCACGAAATGGTGGCCTGATTATGCACACTGCTTTGAGTTGTCCCTATTTGTTTTGAGTTGCCGAATCCCTGTCGTGATTCATGAGATGGGCACTGCAGATGCTTTCCAGCATGGCAGAGAATCTCGGCAAAGACTGGTTCTACTTACAAGGCAAAATATCGATTGGAAGTAACAAAATACCGGATATTTTAGTAAAGAGGTTTCAGCAAGGTTGCTCCAATGTCTCGAACTCAGCTAGTCGGTCGTGACCCAAAAGTACATAGCAAAGTAACTACAAAACATCCTCGGGAAAGTATGGAAACTATTGTCTATATGTTTGTCTCAAAATAAAAATATACTTTTTTTTGTGGCTCTCTGGTTATCAAAGTCTCACTTTTCAATTACGTGATTATTTTAACTAATGAACGTTGAATACAGCTCACGTTAGGACTAAGAAATTAATCGATTGTCTCGATATAGCCGTTAGACATTCTATGCGTAGAATTCTTATTGTGGTTGGATTCGAACTCTGGACATTTAGCATCTGAAGCGAACGTCTTTCCTAGATGCAAGTCAAAAATGGGAATAGACCTTTCTCACTGTCTCCCCAAATGTGTAGAGAAGGCTCATTGTGCCTGCAAGCAGGTTTCAGGTTTCCGAACAAGCTCAGAACGATGGTAGCATGCTGATAACTTGATAGCAACTCAGGCCGTTTGAAGTGTATGTTACTTGTATATCACTGTAATGTACTACTCATAAGGTTGCTGAAAATCTGCCGACAGCCTGAGAACATCACAAACGAGAGATTCAGCTGGGTTCCAGGTGAATCTCTCGAAAAACTAAATTAGTTTGCAAATGAGTGTATATTCGCTAATTTCGTGCAATCTGGTTTCAAGTAGAACATAAGGTTGACGGAAACCCGGGGACTGCGCTTACCTGATGATCCCTAAAAAGGGCGAAACCGGTCGCGGGCTGTCGATGGAGTTTCAGCAACCTTGTGAGTAGTACATTACAAAAGTATGCATGTATCGCGATATCTTGAATATTGTAGCGACTGAATCATGAGACGGACTGGTGCAGCACATTCAGTTGCCTGAGAATATTACAAACGGGAGGTTTGGCTGGGTTCCAGGTGAGTCTCTCGAAAAATCGAATTAGTTTGCAAATGAGTGCATATTCGTGGATGTCACCTGGTTGGTGAGCCATTACGCTCAATTGGTTTTGTGATGAATGGAGACGACCGCCTGGGTGGACAATAATTTAATCGCTGGAAAACTCCAACATACGAGTCCTCCGTCCGTGCCAGTAACGAAACTCACCAGACATATAGGGTAATGCAAACTAAGTTTTTTCCACAACGTCTTGTTTCTTCACATCGATGTACTGGTCTGGCATCAAACCTGTGAAAATCTGTCGGGCGTTACTGTCAGCCCCTAATCCTGGTTTAACTGGTCAGCCCGATGCCCTGTGCCCCAAGTCAAGTGAGACTGAAAACGTGTGTTTGACTACCTTCTGTAACATGCTCCTGATTTTTTGCGTGAAATTATACTGTTTTTGAGTAAGCTCTTGTTGTCTGGTAATCATTTCTCAATGCTATTTAAAAATTTTAATTGTCACTTTTTTCCCCATTGTTTTAAGTTAAATTTCAGTTTAAATCATTCCGGTCTGACCAATGTAATCCGAACTATGTATGAAGAAAGGCGATGACTGCTTATTTTGCCACACAGCATAAGGCTACTATTGAAAACTCTGCTCAACTCCCGTTTTATCGTTCTTAGGGTTTATCAGATAGACGCAACTCTCTAAGTTTCGTCCATCTCATGGTCTGTCTGAACCGAAATTGGACGCAATTAATAAAAGCTACTTCATAGCAAACTTCTCTTGACACAGCAGTCTACTTTTAGGGTTGTGGAAAGCTCTCATCAACGCCAATGAGGAGATTCCACTCATCAAAGCGTTTTGTATATAGTTGGCTAAGGAGACGTTTGAATAACTTACTTCATCTCTGAGCGTTCCCATCAGAGAAGATACGTATCGAGTGACATGGGTTCATCAAAGGCTCTGTAGTAGCCCTACGTTGATTTCAGTACTGTACATCTTTCTGGGTGCATTTCAGATATTTTTGTCCGTAATGCAACCCAAAGCTGAAAAGCGAAGGATGCGGGTACATTTTCATAAAAGAAACTACTCACAAGGTTGCTGAAAACTGACGGCAACTTGGGGACTGCGCCTACCTGATGAACCCGAAGTGGAAGGGCGAAACCGGTCGTGGGCTGTCGAAGAGTTTTCAGCAACCTTGTGAGTAGTTTCTTTTATGAAAAAGGACCAAACCCTTTTTGACCTCACATATAGTGTCCTAGTTTCCGTGCGGATATTCATGGCGCACATGAAGGGGAAATCTGTTGTGTTTTGTCCGGTTGGATTGTGTAGTGTCGTTCAATCACAGCTTAACCAGGAAGCCACACTCAAATGTTTTTTTCAGTGGTTTCCACCCTGAAACTCAAAGCCTAACTGTTCATCCTAAGACGGTTCTTCCGCAATTAGCTGCGTCACTTTTCGTCTTTTGTGAGAGTTGAAGTAATCCATGCACTTTGAAAGATCGATTGTTGTTCCTCTTTATCGTTTTATCTAGCAATTTATCCAATCCCTTTCCACACTCACACATGGGAGCCAAACAGACAAACTCGGATGGGCTTTCCGCCTGTATGATGTCAACGGAGATGGAGTAATCACACGCGGAGAAATGCTCAAAGTTGTGAATGCCATCTATGATCTTCTTGGTCGGAATACTGAGCCACCAATCGGTGAGAATACGACCAGTGAACACGTGGACAGGGTGTTTCGGGTGGGTTTTTTTATATTGTTCATCCTGGAAATGACCAATGAATAGGTTGCGTACGGGGAAAGTGTTACGAGAGTGACACACGGGTTGGATACTTTGTATCGCTCTACAGACTGAGTGAGGTGTGAATAGAATGAGCTCAGAATTTGATCTATCGAGGTATTGTCAGTCTTACTCCCAGTCACAAAGGTTCCGTTCGGTACAGTTTTTTGTGTGTGGACAAACCATGAGTCCACTCAGCTGGTTTGGTAGGTTGCGGTCCAGCCTAGATTCCAGGTTGTTGGTCGCTGCGATACCCTGGTCAGTCTTGCCGGAACAAGCGTTCAAACTAGCACAGGGACACTTGATCCTCTTCTTGTGGACGCGTTGGGTTACACCCTGGCCTTAACAAAGTTTTACCGTTAGTTGAAAACAGATGTGTAGTGTAGGGATACTTGTTTGATTTTGCTGTTCTGTAGCTTTTATTTGGTCGTACACATATTGCAATGTCATTGATCTCCGCATGCATTTATCGATCCCTATTGGTTTCATTTCCAAAAATTTGCTTTTTAGGAAAAAGCGTTGACATATTTGCATGATGTGTTTCTTTAGTTGCGTTTGGTTGACCGAGTTCCTCGGGTTGTTCTCATTTTAGCGCCTGGATCTAAACCAAGATGGCGTGATCACATTGGATGAATTCTTGGAAGCATGTAAAGATGTAAGTTGATTTTCTGTGCAGTGAATTCAGTCGTATCATTTTTAACACTTATCAAATTGTACGCTGAGTGCTCGGCATACATCCCCATTTTCGGAAAGAGGCTTACGGGTGATCTCCTTTGGAAGGTAGTCACTTCCATAGAAGAGTTTCTCAACCGGCGAAGGAATTGTTTGTCAGCTACTATAGAGATTACTGCCAGCTACCACAAAAGCAGTCATGAACTGACCAACATAGATTGGACCTGTTTAACTCCCATCGGTCAGTGCATGGCCGATGCACTTTTCTGCATACTCTGTACACCATTCGCCAAATAAAGTCTAGAGGACAATCACTGCTTCAGTGCACATGAAAATGCACACGTGGGTGCCAATCTAATGTACAAACTTATGATGTAAAGCAGTCCGTAGTTCGAAGCTGCGGAGCTCAGTGAGTAACAAAATCGATCGTTCCGATTCAGATCCTCATGCGTTTTCGCGTATTGCTGACTACTTGGGGAACTTCTTCATATTACATCATGCAGCATGACCTAATAGTCTGCGGTGCCGAAGACAGTCTGTATTGATTTTTGATAAGTGATCTTCGGTTAACTTATCGTTTTTATTATTCATGTCAAACATGACCGAATTGGCCAGCTAGAAATATTTGGTATCGTTCAGCTGCAACATGCTTTCGTTGCCTATCTGCCACGCCACCAGAAGGACGCTAGGATACTGTCAGGTTGCCCAAGCCTAGACAGACTGGGTTCGAATCACGAACCTTCCGGTCAGTAAATTTGCGCTTTAACACCTGCGGCATCTCGCCCCCAATGCTTAGTATGCTTCTCACCAAAGGTCCAAACCTTTTCTCTCCCGAAAGATGACCAGACAGAAGCCTGAAAATAAGTCAAATGAAACCAAAGTTTACTCGATGTTATGTTGGTGTGCAAAACCATGATCGTTATGAGAGCACTTGGCCACTCCACTGGGACATATTAAATCCACTTCCTTCCATCTTGTTATTCAGATAATTTTGTTGACTGGAGCAAAATAACAGAAGTATTTGTGTTAAATGAGTGTGGTGATTAGGTTAGAATTAAGTCGCCAAAACTAACTGCTCCTAATACGTACAATTGGTTAGTGAATATAGTCCTTACATCGTGGAACCTGCAGCGTATTTTTCTCGGAAAACATTGTTCCAACTTTTCCGCACTCGCACAACCAGTAAACAACCGCAGTGTAAATATTGTGTTGGTGTGTCGGCAAGCGTTCTGCCTTTCTACCGTCAATTGGACGGCCCTCACGGCATGGTCACGTGTTTAACGTAGCTTCCGCACTACCTCCACCCCTAACAGCTGGCAAGCTAACACCTCTTTCCAACCGTTAAGCACTGTTTCGTACCCAACTGTCGATTTTGCGCATCCTTACAGTGACCTAGTTATCACACACATTATTATTGACCTACTTCCTTTCCAACAGGATCCTACGATCTGTGATGCACTTGGGAAACTTACAACGATCCTGTGAAAACGCAGGCGGGTTTTACGTCAGCTCGAATTCCCAAAGGGGTATATCACCCCATGGTTGTAAATGCATGCTCCTCATTTACGGATAATCTTTGTCATTTGTTCCTGAATCATGATAAAAAATAAACAAAGCACTTGTTCGCTGGTTGTCTTATTTGCATAATGGATCGGTAAAAGATTTTTGAATGATTAGTCCCAATAGGATTTGTCCTTGAGAGCAGGTCAGATCGACTCCTTCTGAGGTTACCCTTTCGACAAACCACTATAAGCGACCATATGACCTGGTTATTTGGCTCTGACAAATTATTTTGTAATGTAGTCCAGCCTATGATAGTACACAAAGATATACACCATTTGCAATATTCAAGATATCCAAAATCCGTCCTACCTCGATTAGGAACCAATCGCCTTTGGGTATTTGCAGATAATAATGTCCGGCCAACCGTGAAGCTCATTGATGGAACTGACGAACCTGAACTGTTGATCTATTAGACAAAGCAGTATCAAATCAGTGTGAACTCAGCCATACTTGTGCGGTACCGAACAGTGTCTGTGATAGCTCAGCTAGCAGACAGTTCCCTAGATGAGCGGGAGGTAACGGGTTCGAATCCCATCCAAGAGATTCAGCTTTGTGTTGTATTTTTATTTTCAAAATTTCTCAGCCTTCCGCTCCCTCCCAAAAACGTGACTGCAGATCGCTGGACTAGTAGTACTCACAGCAAGGGTTAAGTCGCACGTCTGGTTCGTCTTTCTCGATTGGTCTTCCTGTTAAATGGTTGCTGTAAACTTACCACTCTGTTCACTATGCGTTTTTAAAGTTTGTTTGTGGTGATGCTATTTTCAAGGTGGTATGCCATTTTGCAGTAGCAAACCACGAGCAACAAAGTGAGTTTCGGTAGTGTACTCCGAATGTGACCATGCGCTTTTTTTCTTGGGATACTAACTGATTCATACTCGCCGAACTCCTTTGATAACGCAGCCTATATAGACTATCACAATTTCGCCAGCGACCTCACTAGTAAACACGCAATTACACCACTATCATGCTATTTAGTACAACTGTGTGCAATTTCCACTGAATTTGCAGAACGATGTAGTTCGGATGTGCACAAAAGAGTGGTTTTTAGGTTATCACGGCGGACCGATTCCTATGCACTGGTGTTCAGTAATCAATCAACCGTTCCATCATTGTTAGACTGATTGGTTGATTTCTTGGCATCCAAACCCACTAGCCCCACCCCTCTTCCCACGTGTGTTCAGTGCGGTTTTTTTTCAGGTGGGACAATGGTACTGCTTTTCTATATGGGCGTTCTGGCCCAGGGTTTGAGAATTGAGCTCAACAGCTCTAGAGTTTTCATGTTGGTATGAACAGACCATCCAACTGAGAGCCGCGATCAACGAATCATAGATTCCTGATCGGATCAACCGGCAGCGGCAAATTCCAGGTTGTATTGAAACCGTAACAAAAACCATTAATACAACGGGGTAATCATTCTTTGGATGGCCTAGAGCGAGATATTTCAGCAGTTAAGGCTTTAAACTTTCGTCTGAGGAGTCTATGGTTCGAACCTAACCATAGCTTTTTTGATTGCCTGTATCTAGACTGGTAGTGTCCAAACCCTTATAAATCGACGAAAAGTTCCAGAGCTCGAGAATTTTCAGAAAACACAGCTCTCATTGCACAGTGAGCATGATGAATGAAACGTACCAAACTATTTTGATCCCTTCTAAATTCATGGCAAAAAAGTACACCCTATACCACAGTGTATGATGTTACATTCAACGACTGGAAATAATGGCCAAAGGATCATGAGGTTTCTCCAAAGTGTTTGGTGTTGGTTTGCACCATTATGGAGGTGTAAGGTGGTATTTCAAACGGTTCCTGTGCACGTCATGCATTGAAGGTTGTGATGTTTGTGTCTGCTGTTTCTTCATGGACTCGCAGCACATATCAGTGGCAATGTCTACAAGCCACTTGTCAGTGACGAAAGTTCTCATGAACTTAAGTTCAGTCATCAATCCTCTCTACTGAAGTTCACTCCTACTTCTTTATGCAAGGAATGCGTTCAAAGAAACGGATTTGGTGTCTTCAAGTATGTTTACTTTGCGAACATCAGCAAAGCCTAAGTGAGGAAAGGCTTCTGCCATTCAGTATTACTCATAAGGTCAGAGAAATTCACAAGTCTCGCGTTTCTTGGAGCTGACCAAGCAGTTTGTCCCATCAAATAGGTGTTGACAGGACGCAGCTGAAAATAACCTAAATAGTTCATCCATGCTATCCTTCAACTAAATGTGCGGTGATGAAAATACTTCCTTATCTTGGAAGAAAGCGGCCTTTTAGCAGAACGTTTAGCTGGTGTATACGATAAACCAAATAAAAGGAAGGAGGCTTTCTCTGCGGATTTCCTTCGCGGTGGCCCAGTCCATCTTCCGATGGCCTCTTCTGGCCGCATCCAGCCTTCGCCCGGCCCCAGAGAAGGGTCTTCAGCGCCGCCAACTTACCCCGGTCGGTATCCAGCCCAGCAGCTCCCACAGGAAGGTCCGAACATCCCCATCCTCAAAAGGGTTGTGGCCACGGGATCTTCATCCTTATCCTGGTCAAGGCACCAAATGAACTCCGTTTGGATTTCCCGTCAGTACCAAAGTATCTTCTGTGATCCGTCTTTTCCAGGGGTACCGGTGAAAACCTACAGTGCCTTGAAAAAGAACATTGCCTCTATAGCACACCAATAAAATTAGATTTACTGCTAGACTACTGGTAGACTTTTTCTTCTGCGTCCATGGCCTAATTTCTTCCATCATGCGAAGCGAAAAAGAGTAACTCCCATCGATCCAAAAACGACAAAGTATACAAAACCAGATGGGCGATTTCGACTGAATATCTGACATATGGTGAGGAAATCGTTTAGATGTCGGTCCTCTGTGAAACGTTTAGTCTTTTCTCGAGAAGAATCAATGTGTACGTCTTAGCTAGGCAGGATATAGCAGCTAAGAGAGGGAAAGTATGCGCTACTGGTCACCTCAGGCGATGCGCTTACCTGAAAACAAGGATGATACGAAGAATGTCTCCAACCTAGAGCTAAAGGTTTTCGGACAAAGACAAAAACAATTTTGGATCAATCTGTAAGACCGATTTCACAAAATGAGTGAAACTTCCATCTGAGAAGTAGTCACTCGAGTAGCCAGTTTGTACTCAATCACGTGGTTGAGTAGCTGTTCAGCCACTCGTGGCCAAACGGTTACGTTTAAACTAAGAGCCGGGAGTTCACGGGTTTGTGGCTTCCTGGAGTCTCGTGAGACGCGCGTTGCTAATGAAAACGGTGAAATGATAAATTATAACGACATTAGTAAGAATGGTAGAGTTGTACAGATTGAAAATCAGCGGATGCCCTCAAACTATCAACTAACCAGCGGTTTTGGTGAGGACCAAAAACCAACAACGAACATAAAGGTCTCAGAACAATAGCACCCAAAGATCTAAATGCATTCGACAGGCTCACGCGCCGACTTAATCAACGTCATCAGTCAGCTCATTTGTCTATAGTAACCACGTGCATCATCATCATCATCACCGTCATAAGCATCTTCAGCCATACAGACCGCGTACTTGCCACATTTTCGTTCGCCAGTGACTTGAGGAGACGGGCTAGATAGCTGCGTATTAGAGGTAGTAGCCGATAAAATTGATATGTAAGCCCAGGGATGTCAGTGAAAAAATCGGGAGCGGAGTTCTGCATTGAGAGCAACAGCCTGGATGCGTGAGGCTCGTTGAGGATATGTCAGACGAAGTCTCCAACCATTGATGTGTCCCATCTCGGGGTCTACATCCATGCAGACGGTAATGGCCAGTGCAGCTGAGCTTGTTGTTAATAGCTTCCAAACTTCGCTATTTCAACTCCCATGGCTCATTTTCACCACAGGCGTGGTTTTGCCGAAATTGCTGTTCGAGAAGGTTCGTCGAATAGCATACCCCAGCTAGACCCATGAGTTGTGATCAGTTCATCTATTGTGAGCGAGGTACTTCTACCAAAGACCATTCGGCTTACTCCAGCATTACTGATCCGGTGTCCCCACCAGAATCGGGTAATGCTCTGAAGACACAAAGATTTTGACATCCTCGGCTCGCAGCTACCGGGTCTCCGACCCGCATAATATTATGGGGCACAATGCAGGCTTGTAAATTCTACCCTTGATGAATGAGCTGATATTACACCTAGGCCACAGGTGATGCAGGATCAAAATATTTGCTCGGATCCTCTAAGTTGGGATGGAGATATCTTTGGCCATACTAATTGGAATGATGCAGCTGTCTAGTACCTCAGTCGACTAGTCCACATGCACGAGGTTAGGGTTGGAGTTCACCCGGTCTTGGAGCAGCACTCAACGCTTCACAGGTGTGAAGAGCACGCCAAACCATAAGGCAGAATTATTTAGATTATTTAACGTTTTCTTTATTATAGTGACGTCATATTCAAGCTGAGCTATCTCGTCCGCATACCCGACATCCGTAAGCGGATGACCCGAGAGAATTTCGAACCCACAGGCATTACAGGCTGCGACTGAGTCCCTAATGATCATACCAATGGCGATGGTGAACAGGAAAGATGAAAAAGGACGGCTCTTCTGTCAGCACTTGGTGTGATGAAATTAGGCGAGAGCTTCCCGTTGACCGCCACAAGTCCACAGAGGGTGGTCTACGGCGCCTAAAGGAGAATCAAGAATTTATGGGGAATATCTTTGCTCCATGGGCACCGTCATAGGTCCTGGCTGTCCACATGGTCAAAAACAGCTTGCAAGTCAAGGATAACAAGCATTGTTGTTTGCTGAAAGCAGTGTCGCTGTTCCAGAATCTGTCAGAGGGTGAAGATATGATCGATGCCTTCTTTTTCAGGACAGGACCTGGCTTCGCGGTCATGTTGCCCACTTGTGCTCAGCCAACCTTTAGAAGATAATACCAGATAGAAATTCGAATCCACAGCTTCCAGACTAATTCCAAGGTAGTTTTTACCCTAAGTTTGCGTATCCCTTTTGGAAACAGGGATGACTGTTAATATGCGTCTTTTCGTAAGCGTTCTCCCTTGACTCCATATCGCATCACTAACTTTTGTTAGATTCGTCACCAGGGGCTTTTGACC